AAAAAAAAAAAAAGAGTCTACTGAATGGATAAAAGGAAGAAGGTTTGAGGGCAAAGAAAGCAGATTTTAACTGTACTTGCTAACAGATGATTGGCTATCTTATTATCTGCGCAGCCAGAGAGAGCCCAGGAAAGAGCAGAAAGCTAGCTGCTATTTGGACTGCAATTGGGAACCATGAAGGGAAACTAGAGGAAAAGGAATAATTTATACTGTAGAAGAGGCCACAGCAAGAGGACCAAGGGCCTTCCATCTCTTTCCACTGAGGACATTGGTTAACATTGGAAAGAACCATAAAGCATAAGATGTGAAACTTTAGCCTGGGGATCTGTGGCATCTTCTTCCTCCTGAGAGAACTAGCCTAAGAGAGGAGACACCTGTCGTCTCTGGGCCAGGAATGGCTGCTTTTCTTCTGGGGGTGTGGCTGAATGAGATAATAGGGCAGGGGAAGAGGGTAGAGTTTGGCAGGGGTGGAAGGTAGGAAAGGCTACCTATCTCTGGATCTTTCTAATCATCCCTCCTCTATGTTCTATGTTCTATGCCTGGTGCCTCTACGTCTCTGTCCCTCTTACCGCTATCTGAAGGCTCATGACGGTCGATGAGTTCCAGAGCAAGGTCAGGAGCTCGGTCTCCTTCTTTCTGCTCCTCTTGAAGGAAGTCCACAAATTCTAGCAGAGTCAGCTTCTGCCCATCAGCCGAAAAGTTTTCAAACAGTTCCTCCACCTCAGCCCGCTTAGTCAATGCCTTATAGAATTCTACAAATTCTTCTCCCTCCAGAGTCCCAGACTTAGACTTGTCTGCTGCCTGCCAGAGAGGATTTAGGGGAGAGTGAGTAAACCCTTTAACCAGATAGAGGATGGTCTTGACTTACCTAGATGAGCAGTTTTATCAATGGACTGATCCAAATTTGCTATCACAAAACTCCTGATATTTAGTGTTCATGGAAGAAGCTACTTCAGTACATAAAAGACAAAATCTCAGCCATATAATACACTATCATTTACTACTGGAGAAAGTTTTCAACTAGAAAGAGCTGAATGTCCCAAAGTTCCCTAAAGGGTCAGACGATCCCTCTTTCTACTTACTCACATTCCACTTGGGGTTTTCATTTACTAGGTACCATACCAGCACTTGTCTGTCAGTTTGTTATCCTTATGTGTCACTGTGATACTGGGAGCTATGCCATGGTATCTTAAATAGCAGCAGGGTCACCCATGGTTTTCATTGCAGCTTCTAGACTAAGAGGTTAGGAAGAATGGTTAGCCACTGAAAACCTTATGAATATCAATGGAGCATTGTCAGATATAGTGACAGAAGATGAGCCTCTCAAGTTGGAAGACACTCAAAATACTCAAAATATTACTAGAGAAGAGTTGCTTCCTCAAAGTGTAGTTGACCTTTAATGACATGGATGGAGTAAAACTTTTGGGACTTTCATTTGCTAATGGGACACAACTCAAAATGAGAAGAAACAGCTGCAAACATCCATTAATAATCAGAATGTGGAATGCATGAAGTATGAATCTAGGAAAATTGTTGTTGTCAAGTGCTGTCAAGCCAGTTCTAACTCAGAGGGTTTCCCAGGAGTAGCTGGTGGGTTTGAACTGCCTACCTTGTGATTTGAAGTCCAGTGCTGATTCTACAATGCCACACCAAAAAAATTAGAAGTCAAAAATGAAATGGAACTCACAAAGATCCTAAACACTAGTGAGATGAAATGGACTAGTATTAGCCATTTTGAATCCACATGGTTTACTATGCTGGGAAAATATTGAATGATACAGAAAGCATCAAAAGAAGATGGAAGGAATACACAGAGTCACTGTACCAAGAGAAAATGGGCCAAGGGAGAAGAGCGGAGTACGGGACCCTACCCAGAGAAACAGTGATGCCAGAGACCGAAACAGAGACTATGACATGGAGAGATGGAGCAGCTGGGGACTTTAGACCCAGAGAGGGAGAGGGGCTGTGTGCTGATGACCAGGGGGCAGGCTTGTAGGGTATACCCTTTGGTTGTTTGATGATGCATGGAGGAGATAGCAATCATGGCAATGAAATGATATACAATAGGACGAATGTAAAGCTAATGTTCTCCCATGTAAACCATCACATAATTCACAATAAAAACTTAAAAAAAAAGGAAATGGTCAATGTTCAACCATTTCAAGAGCTAGCACGTGATCAAGAGCCAAAGGTACTGAAGGCATTGGCAAAGAAGAAGGCTCTATGAATTGAGGAAATACAAATTGAAATCTTTCAACAAACTGTTGCAGCACCGAAGGTGCTCACTCATCTATGTCAAGAAATTTGGAAGACAGCTACTGGTCAACTGGTTGGAAGAGATCCACATTCGTGCCCATTCCAATGAAGTGCAGAAATCATCATACAGTATCACTAATATCACATGCAAGTAAAATTTGTTAAAGGTAATTTAAAATTGGTTGCAACAGTACATTGACAGGGAATTGCCAGAGCTTTAAGCTAGGTTAGACGAAGGTATGAAACAAGGGATGTCATTGCTGACATCAGATGGTTCTTGTTTGAAAGCAGAGAATATCAGAAAGATGTATACCTTTGCTTTATTGGCTATGCAAAGGCTTTCAACTGTGTGGATCATGACAAGCTATAGACAATATTGAGGAGAATGGATATTCCTGAAAAGTTAATTGTGCTCATCAAGAACCTATACATAGACTAAGATGCAGTTATTCGAACAGAACAAGGGAGCACTGAATGACTTAAAATCAGGAAGCGTGTGCACCAGTGTTGTATTCTTTCACCATACTTACTTAGTTGGTATGCTGAGCAAGTAATCCAAAAAACTGAATTATATGAAGAAGAATGTGGCATCAGGACTGGTGGAAGACTCATTAACAAACTGTGATATGCAGATGATACAATCTTGCTTACTGAAAGGGAAGAGGACTTAAAATATTGACCACAGCCTTCAGTATGGGTTGCACCTCAGTGTAAAAAAAAAAAAAAATCCTTACCACTGGATCAATAAGTAACATCATGATAAATGGAGAAAAGATTGAAGTTATCAAAGACTTCATTTTGCTTGGATCTAAAAATCATCATTCATGGAAGTAACAGTCAAGAAACCAAATGATGTATTGCATTAAGCAAATCTGCTGCAAAAGACATCTTTGAAGTATTAAAGAGCAAAGATATCCGTTTGAGGATTAAGGTGCCCCTGACCTAAACTAGGGTATTTTCAATTGCCTCATATGCATGTGAAAGTTGAACCCGAGAAGAATTGATGTATTTGAATTATGGTGTAGGAAAAGATTATTGAGCGTACTTTGGAAGACTTACAGCCAAAATGCTCCTTAGAAGCCAGGATAATGAGACTTTGTCTGTCATACTTCCGACATGTTATCAGGAGGAACCAGTCTCCAGAGAAGGACATCATGCTTGGTAAAGTGGAGCATCAGCGGAAAAGAGGAAATGGAATGACATAGTGGAACCAACACTGGGCTCTAACATAATAATTGTGAGGATGGTGTAGGACCTGGTGTGGTGGTAGTGATGTGCCATGGAGTCGGTTCCGACTCATAGCGACCCTGTACAGGGTTTCCAAGGCTGTAAATCTTTATGGGAGCAGAAAACCTCATCTTTCTCCTGCGGAACAGCTGGTAGTTTTGAACTGCTGACCTTAAGGTTCGCAGCCCGATTTGTAACCGCAATGTTTTATTCTGTTGTGCATAGAGTTGCTATGACTTGAAACTGACTGGATGATACCTAGCAACAGCAACAACAACAAGGTACCTTTAACATTTTGGACATGGACGGAGGGGTTCTTGAGTCTGACATTGTTGTTATTGTTGTTAAGTGCCGTCGAGTCGGTTCCGACCCATAGCGACCCTGTACAGGGTTTCCGAGGGTGTAAATCCTTACGGGAGTAGAAAGCCTCATCTTTCTCCCGCGGAGCAGCTGGTAGTTTCGAACCGCTGACCTTAAGGTTCGCAGCCCGATTCGTAACCACTACGCTACATAGTAACGTATTATTATTTACTTTTCATTTTTGTTGTTAATTGCCTACTGCTGAGTTGGCTCCTGATTCATGTTGACTCTATGTGCAGAGTACAACTGCTCCACGTGGTTTCCCAGGCTCTGACCTTTTGGAAGCAGATGGCCAGGCCTACCTTCTGAAGTGCCTCTGGCAGGGCACAGCTACCAACCTTTTGCCTAATAGTTGAGCACTTAACCATTTGTACCACCCAAGGACTCATCTTTCCAACAAATCTGAAGAGCACTTTCTTCCCTTGATTCCCCACTGAGTGAGGCATTATACTAGGGTACAGAGTAGAAATTGAACAAATGAGCATTGCTTAGAGTCAGAGTACTTCTGAGAGCCACATGGGAACGTGGCCTGGCTGACTCCTGCAAATCTTTCCCCAGCAAACTCACCTGGAAAAGCTGGAAGGCATATTCCTGCTCCATTTCCACATTCATCAGATGCAGTAACCGCTGGACTTCTCGGAAACTCATCCGTCCATCCTGGTTTTTATCTCCACGCTGGAACCAGTCACTCAACCATCCAGGTCTGTGTCAAGGAAAAAACACTGTGTGCCTGTGTGTGTGGTTTCTACATCAACATCTCTTCCCTGTCTTTGTCTTTCTCCCATGCCAACCCATTATCCACACAGCTTCTGAATAATGTCCCCAGACCAACAATCTATCTTGTCACTGCATGGTTTAGGAGTCTGCAGGGACCTCCATGTTGCCTGCAGAGAGAAGTCCAAATTCCTTAACACAAAATTCCAGCTCCCTTTTGCTCCCCATGATCTGGCGTCATCCCAGACTTCTCAACACATCTGTGGTTCTTCCCTGTGCTTTAGCCACATTCCTCAATCTCCTGGCTCTCTGATGGCTCATTCTCCCTCCTGATCTTTGAGTTCCTGTCTCTGGGCCTTCTCTCATATTGTCCCTTCAAGTTCCTTCACGAGTGCCTTCCCCTTTTCCTCTCTTCATGCTCATGTTCTACTCATTTTCAAGGCCCAGCCCAAGTGCCCCTTTTTCCCTGAAACTTTCTGAGCCCTCTAAGCTAGAATTAAATATTTCTCCTTCCTTTGAACACCCACAAATAATCTAAGTACCATAGAACTCCTATAGACTATTTTCGCAATGCCATCCCCTCCACTGACTGAAGCAGTATTGGGCTAAATTATTAATCTCATTAATTTTTATACTCCTGAAGCCCAGCATAGTGTCTGACACATTTTACTGAGTAGATGATGAATGAATGAATCTCAGAGTAGAAAGTGCGTACAAATCAAGAAACTTGAAGTGAGTCTATACCCCGTGCCCTTTAATGGCTGCTTCCTACCCCACTGGTAGTTACTCAGTGCCACCTTCTATTCAGTCCCTGGGATCAGCGCACCTTGTTCATCCTTTGCCTCCCATTGTCCCTTCCTCCAATTCTGGGGGCCTTTATTCATGCCTGGACTCATCTCTTCCTCAGGGTCCTCAGCCTCCCGTGAATCTGTGTGCTTCCTGCCCATCCCATCTGGGCCTCCACAGCCCTGCAGCCTCTGGCTCCTTCAGCAACTTCCACCCCACCAAGACCCTATCCTGCTGATACTGGTCTAGCCGCTCCTGTTGGTCCATGCTGGTGACCACCTCCACCAGCAGCTGGAGCCCCCGCATCCAGAGTTGGGCCTCCTCAGCACTGTTGGCCACCAGGTCTAGGTTGGAGCGGCGTCCGTGGAAGACGACAGTGAAACCCTGCTCCAGAGGGAACTCCTCTGCCAGGCTGCGAAGCAACTCAGACTCATGGCCTTCACGCACGGTCTCCACGTCCGAGATCGAGACTGCAGGAGAAGAAGTAGGTGAGAGCACAGAGGAAGAGAGTCCACCAAGTTGCAGGGACCAAGGACCAAGAACCAGCACTCCCTTCTCTGCTAAGTCAGAGGGAGAAGAAACTCCAGCAGGCTGGATCCTCAAAAGCATGAGCCCGTCTATTAAGATTAGAATGATATAGCACGGCCCCTGCACAAGGAAGACACAAAGCCTGGGACTCAGGAGCACACATAGTCATTGCTGTTTTCATATGCAGCATGGCAAAAGGCTGGTGCTGGGAGTGGCAAGACTAGTCTTCCAGCCACCAGTTGGCAGCGTGACACAGACCAAAGACTTAACCTCAGTGTCCTCATCTAAAACAAGAGAGGGTCTCACTCTATGATAAGTCCTCATGGGGATTTCAGGGGGATCAGAAGGGCTAACAGATGGAAGCATAGTTGGGAATAGAAGCAGTTACACCAAAGCATTATATGCCAAGTCCAGTTCTGGCGTTCCAGGTTTGAAAACTTTCTCTTTCCAGATTGTCTAGGAGAGAGCCAGACAAATTCCTCCCCTCTCTTACTGCTGCTCTGGTAGCGTAGTGGTTACGAATCGGGCTGTGAACCGTAAGGTCAGCAGTTTGAAACTACCAGCTGTTCCGCAGGAGAAAGATGAGGTTTTCTGCTCCCGTAAAGATTAACAACCTCGGAAACCCTGTGCAGGGTCGCTATGAGTCGGAACCGACTCCATGGCACATAACAACAACAGCAACAACTTACTGCTGCTAGGTCTGGTGTGGATCATGAGCTTTGGTTCTGTAGCTAAAGCAGGCTGTCTTAGATATGCCCTAGGATCACATTTCTAGTGCTACCATATAAAGAGATTGGCCTGATGCATTTAACGTATTAAAGCATTTTGCATAATGGCTAATATTTATTAACTGCCTCCTGGTCTTAATTCTCATGCTGGGTGCTTTATACATTAACTTGTTGGGTCACTGTAACCTACATAGTTGTTGTTGTTATTATGTGCCTTTGAGTTGGTTCCGACTCCTAGTGACCCTGTACAGGGTTTCCAAGGAGTGGCTGATGAGCTTGAACTGCCAACCTTGCGGTTCAAACTGACCCTACAGTCCAGTGTATTAACCCACAGCAATACACCAGGACTCCAACCTACATGATTGTTGTTGTTGTGAAGTGCCATAGAGTTGGTTCCAACCCGTAACAACCCTGTATAGGGTTTCCAAGGAGCAGCTGGTGAGCTTGAACTCCCAACCTTGCAGTTCGGCTCATTAACAGCTTTGCAGTCTGGTGCATTAACCCACAGTGCCATAGATGGTGTTTAATCTATGTTCTACATAATGAGAAAACCAAAGCTTAGAGTGTTAAGTAATTTATTCAAAGTTACTCAGCTAGAAAGTGGACAAAGAAAAGTTTCAATCCAGGCTGGAGGATGCCTGAGATTATGCTCTTATAGTAATAATAATGAGCCTTACTATGTGACCAAAGGAGCGCTGGTAGCATGTTGTTGTTGTTGTGAAGTGCCGTCGAGTCGGTTCCGACCCATAGCAACTCTGTACAGGGTTTCCAAGGGTGTAAATCTTTACGGGAGTAGAAAGCCTCATCTTTCTCCTGCGGAGCGGCTGGTAGTTTCGAACTGCTGACCTTAAGGTTCGCAGCCCGATTCGTAACCACTACGCTACCAGAGCTGGTAGCATAGTGGTCACAAATTGGGCTGCTAATTTCACGGTCAACAATTCAAAACTATCAGCAGTTCCATGGGAGAAAGGTGAGGCTTTCTGCCCCCATGATGATTTATAGCCTTGGTAACCCTATACAGGGACACTGTGAGTTGAACCGACTCCATGGCACATAACCACCACCACCACCACTATGTGCCAGACAGGTCTTTGAACTGGATTGAATTCATTTAGCCATAGCTGAAAAAGCAAAACTGGAGTAGACTCAAATCTATTAAATGGGTACATTGGGAGGATAAACAGAATGGGAACAATTATGGGTGGAAGCCCTGGAATGGGAGACTCAGAAGAGGCACAGTGAGGCTCACCTTTTCAGGAGCTTGATGCAGGAGACTGGATTATTACCAAGACAGTGGAGAGTGATACACATTCAAGGCGGCCTAGTCAGCAGCCTTCTTTGAGCTGGGAAATGTTGTTTTTGAAACAACGGTTCAAGAGATTTGGTTGCTATGCAGGCGCTTGCTACCCTTATTTTCTAAGAGGGAGATTATGTTTCTAGCAGGGTTTGACCTGTAATCTTTCCCATTCCAGTTAGCATTCTGGTTCACCCACTGTTCCTGTGACTATTAAAACCAGGGCTTTGAACCAGGCTGCCTGGTTCAAAGCCCTGGTTATAATCCCCATTTTCCAGACTCAGATATAAGACACAAATAGGGACAATACAACAGCACAGTCTTGTAGCTGTGGTCCCTCCCCTGCTCCTCAGGGCCCACCCTCAGCTAGCCACATCACTCACAGCTGGGCTTGGCACGCCACCCGTTCTGCCGAGAATGCCAGACTGTCATGCCGTCATCCTGAAGTCTGAAGTATCTTAGCTTCTTCCAGTTTTTGGACCTCACCTTGCGCATCTGCATGCCTTCCTGCATCAGCATCAGGTCCGGGTCAGTGGGCAGCCCTGGGCCAGGAGAAGTAGAGGTTGGATAGCCAGCCTTGGGCATTGTGGGGAGGGGCTAGGACCCAGGAGGGCTCAAGAACAGAGTTCGGCCTCCTCCCTTTCTTTGGGGTATCTCCCTAAGCCTTCGTCCCTCCAGGGGTACTCACGGACTCCTTGTGGCAGGGACGCCATCACCTACAGCTCCACCAGCTCACACCAGTCACCTAGAGGACCAAGAAGGAATGAAGGACTTTGGGTGAATCTTAGTGGCCTTAAAATAATAGATTAAAGGAGGAAGAGAAAGAAGCCATTTTGTCCTGAGTGCCCACTATGGATCAAGCTCTTCAGTTGGTAGCTATCTTTGAGTTTGGTGACACTAAGTCTTAGAGAGGCTAAGGAACCTACCTCAAATAACAAAAGGGACTCAGAATGTGTGGTGTTGTAGGATAAGCAATTGACTGCTAACCATGACATTGGCAGTTCAAACCCACCAGGCGCTCACTATGAGTCAGAACTAACTCAACGGCACTTAACAATAATATGTTTAATCTCCAGGAGAAAGATGAGGCTTTCCGCTCCTGCAAACAGTTACACTCTCAGATGGTACTATGCTGTCTTGATGGTGCTAAACAATTTAACAGCAAATGTCTAACCCCCAGAGACCCCACTGTTTCACATGACCATCTCCACAGAGGGCTAACTAGGGTTTTCTGCTGCATACCCTGTTCCTACCCAATACCCCACCATCTGCTGGCCAACCTCACAGCCTCTAGGATAAGCACTGGATTACTAACACAAGGTCAGAGGTTCAAACTCACCAGCCGCTCCTCAGAAACCCTATACAGGGTCAGTATGAGTCGGGACCGACTCGATGACACTTAACAACAACATCTCCTCATTATAAGCAACCACTGTCTTCTGGTGGACCCTTTCTAGAACCAGGAAGGGCTCACATCCTAGGCATTTTTACCTCTGTGAGCCCTCTCCATGCTCCCTTACATTTTGTCCCGCATCTGAAGGGTTAAGACAGAATGTTTGCTTTGTTTCTACATAGTTCACATAGTACTGTACTGATCCAAGTGAGCTGTTTTCTATTTTCACATTGTAAAGCATATTTGATATTATTTTTCATAGCAGTTATTCTCATAATTTTAATGTAAGTCACTTAAGTCTTAGAATTATTTTCAAGTTTCTCTACTTTCTAAAAAAAAGACACCTCCTTTACAAAATATATTGCCCAATTTAGGACTTGGTGAAGTTATCTAGGAGACCCTGGGTAGTGCTGGACTGTTAGCTAAAAGACTAGCAGTATGAACCCATCTGGAGGCACTTCATAAGATCAGACTAGCAATCTGCTTCCAAAAGGTCACAACCTTGAAAACCCTATGGAACAGGAATGGGGTCACACAACAGTCTTCATGAGTCAAAATTAACTTTACAATAACCAACAACTAACTTACCTAGAAGCTAACAGAAAACTCCTCTTGAAAAGAACCAGAAGATTTGATATGTGACCACTTTGTTTCTAGCTCTGCCCATATAGAAATATTCAATTCTTGACCATATCATGAAACTGAAGAAGCTCATGAAACTGACAAAGCTCATGAAACATAAAATTATGACTTTGTATAAGCAAAGGACCTAAACACTTGAGTAGAGATATATTACACTTTTTAGTTAATAAATTAAAATTCTGACATTGTAAATATCTTTAAAACCTGTATTGTTGTTAAGTGCCATCGAGTCAGTTCCAACTTATAGCAACCATGTATGTAGATTGGTTTCCAAGGAGCAGCAAAGTTAACAAGATTAACAGTCTAGTGATTATCCTATAGTGCCACACCAGGATTGCTAAAAAACCTGGACAGAAATATCTATATGTGATCATTCAATTAGTATTCCATTAAAACAGCATGTAGTTCAATTCCTTTTATCAGAGAAATGAAAAATCTGACATTCAGAAGGGTGATGTGACTTGTCTGTGGCCACACACCATGTTAGTACCCTATTTGTCTCTTGTGGGAAGAGTCTACAAAGTCATGATGGGTGACTAGTCTTCAGAAGAATGTGGGGGTCACTGTGAAAATACAGCTTCCTTGACTGCAGGGAAGGCTTTCTAAAACGGTAGCAACATGCAGGTGTCCAGAATGAGAAGGGAAGATTGAAAAGTAGCTTGGGCCTTACTGGGAGCTCAAGATAGCTAAAAATAGCTCCAGGCAGTTCTCAGGAACTGGCATTGTGACAGGCCCAGGAAGATTCTTCTAACCAAGGCTGAAAACGGGCCTGGAAGAGACCAAAATAAAAAGGTGCTTCTTAGGAGATAAGAAAGCATCTCTGCTTTTCTGGGTGAAAATACAGTTTGGAATCTCAGGCTTACGAAGACTATGATTGAAGACTGAAATAGAAAACAATAGGTCTTGCCAATGTCTTAGGTTCTTAATCTCTAAGCAGGGTTAAGTCTAACCCTGTTTGCCAACATCCTGCCTCATTTCTTGTCTGAATCTTAGCTCTCATCTCTGGGGCTGAGGGACTCTGAGATAGGTTGTGTCTTGATCCTGGGAGAAGAAAGAATTCCCTTTCCTTCCTCTCATTGTTGTTGTTGTTGTTAAGTGCTGTGGAGTCGGCTCTGTACATGGTTTCCGAGAAGCAGCTTGCTCTCAGACATCACAACGATGTCCTGAAACATGGGTAGCCTAAGAATAGAGTCCAAGTGCCTGGACACTTCTGTTTTAGAGCCCACTTCCTCTCAAATCAGTCATCGAAAGTGATTTTGTTCCTCCTTTGTCAACTCCAGGGCTTGACTTTGCTATTCTAATCTAACCATTACTGAATCACTACTTGAAATCTGAATCCAGGTCAGATGTGGCCATAAGATGGCCAGTTTCAACTCTGGGAGCCACAGAACGTGAGGGTTTTGACTTGATTTTATAGAGAAGAGAACTTGGGACTAGAAAAATTAGCTGAACTTCTTAAGTCAGCCAATAAGTCAAGTGGCAGAATTGGGGCTCCAAAAGACTAGCTCAGAGATCTCATCAAGACTGTTGCCCTTAGAAAGAACCTTCTCTAGGGAGCAAACTGAACCAGGGTTAGGAAGCGATGAGCGACACCGCAGTTTTGTCTCTCCCTTCCACCATTGTCTGTTACCTCTCTATCCCGCTTAACAGCCTCTCTTTGCTTTCTTCACATTTTCTCTCATTGCTCCATCTGGTGCCTTGTTGTTGTTAGGTGCCACAGTGTTGATACTGAACAACAGAACGAAACACTGCCCGATCCTGGGCCAACCTCACAATCCTTGCTACGTTTGAGGACATTGTTGCTGCGATTGTGCCAATTCATCTCGCTGGGGGTCTTCCTCTTTTTCTTCGACCCTCCACTTTACCAAACATGATACCCTTCTCCAGCGACTGGTCCTTCCTGACAATATGTCCGAAGTGTCTGGTACCTGACCCCTTCTTTTTCCTGTCTTCCTAGCTTGCTCCTCTTTTTCTTCCAATCCTCTCTCTGCCTTCCTATTTGCTCACTTAACTTAGTTTCTGTTTAGTCTCCTCTTCTTATCTGTTCTCCCCATCACCTCTGCCTCTCATTTCCTTCCTTTTCCTTCATAATTTCCAATAGCTCCAGTTCTCTTTGATGATTTTGAGATTGTGATCCAGGCGGGAGACACTTGGGTTTGGACATCCTCAGTTTTCCTCATGTCCTAGGAAATTGACTCAGCAAACTTCCCAGTGAATGAGTTAGGACCCAGGTGTACTATGTCATGGTGTTTCCTCTGCCGTCTGAAGGTGGGGTGGGGAGGTTGGTCACAGCGGTTGCAGGTGCAGTAAGGGAACTTGGAAGGAAGGCTTTGGGAGTGGGAATACTGGCAAGGAACAGAGGATGAAGAGTAAGAGTAAGAGAAATTGGATCAAAAATATAACTCCTAGACAGATATATGGAAGTCCTTGGAGACTTTAGGCAGGATAGCATTTATATATAATACGGTTGGGAAAGTGGAGACACGAAATAAGATAGAAAGTGGTCCTGGGCTGTAGAACAAAATTTGGCGTCCAACTTCTAGGTAGCTTCATGTTAACCTAGAGAAGGGCTTGGACATGCACCAATGGCACCAATGGCTTTTACAGCAGGATTCAAAGGGTCTCAGGTCTCTCTGAGGGGCAGAAAGGAAGAGAATTTTGGCTTTTTTCTTGCTTCTGAGCCAGATTATCCCTGACCTGGTTCATATAGAAGACAGAATGCTCTAGCTACAGGTCACTGCCCTCAGACTATCAGCTCTGGAAGGTTTTTACAACACTTCTAACCCAGAGGTTTCTGGCTATCCCAATAACCCCTAGAGAGTGTCACAGAACAGAGGTTCCTGAGACCAACCCAAAAGCTTGTTGCTGTTGCTGCTGTTAAGTGCCATCAAGTAGGTTCCAACCCATAGCAACCTTGTACCCAAAATCTACTGGATCACAATTTCCAAGGCTGGAACCAAGCACCTTAATTTTTTTTTTTTTAACAAGCATCCTGGTACAGAAGCAAGTTTGCTCTCCTGTCACAGATCATAAAGTTATGACCCAAAACCACAAAATTAGTTTAATGGTAGAGTGAGGACAAGAAGGAAGTCCACTTCTCAGGGAAACTGCTCTGGTCCATTGCGCAGGATAAAAAACAAGGTCCAGAACTCAAACCCTGGCTTAGTCTCACCCACAACCAGGGGTTTCTTTGCTCCCCTCATGACCCTCAATAATCTGCTAAGGAACCTTATGGAGAAGAGCTCATGTCTGAGGAGTGGCTAGGAATAACACCCCCAGCCCTGTGTAGTTAAAAAGCAACTACCTTCTTAAGCCAGCTAGGTGTAGCTGGCTTCAACCTCCTAGGGCTCTCTAGTTTATCTTCTTAGACTCTTACAGTTTTACTCTTAGCTGTGCCAGTCACCCACTTACATGTGGGGGCTTCAAAAGTTTCTGTGGAAAAATGGAATGAAAAGAGAATGGAATTTTTCCATGAACTTTTTGCAGTCCCCTTATATAAGGGGGTGACTGGTACAGCCAAGAGGAAAACTGTAAGAGTCTAAGAGGATAA